GGATCTGACTAACAGATGACCCAGAGGCCCTGGACCACAGAACCTTATTCTCTGTAGGCCACAGTTCTCTTCTCTCCCAAAGACTTCAGATATGAAAATTCCTACTCCGTGCCCCCACCTGAAGGGACTGAATTAACTTACAGCAGGTGTGAATGTGCTCTCAAAGCACAAACAAGGAAAAAAAGTGAGAAAGAATGGGAAAAAAAAATCAAGAATTTAGAATACTGTTTTTAAAAACTTCTTTGGTACCAGGAACTGTGCTGGCAATGATTTTCTATGCACACACACGCACACACATTGATGTAATCACAGGTATTACACAAGCATATAGGAATTATCGCTAATCCTCACTACAATATTTATTTGAATGGAAATCTTTTAATACTCCATTTTCACAGACGGAGAAAACTGAAACCCAGAAAAAATAAGCAAGTTGGTCTCAGTTTTAAAAAAAAATAACAGCACTGAGATTTGGACATAGGTTAGCCTAGCCCTGAGGGCAGTTTTCTTTTTCCTAAAACACCCTGCACAGGAGGAATGGGGAAGAGGCAGCAGTGGGGAGACCATCAGGTCTCGTTCTTTGTTGCTGCTTCCTCCACTGAACCCTTCTGGAAGTCAGAGTGAGACTCAGGGGCCCTCTCAGCTGCTCCTGAAAGGAGCTCGCTCTCCCCATATCAAGCCTCACTGCTGTGGGCTATCAGGAGTCCCAGTTCTTCTATCTAACATCAGCCCATGACTTCTGTGAGGCGAGGCCGCTATCTTATTTATTCTGGCTGAAAAGTAAGTATTATAATCATGGGTAACACTTGTCAGGTCTTATTAAATGCCACACTCTGCTGCACACTTTACACATACTAGCTCTTCGTTACTTAAAGGGTGGCCTCAGGCCCAGCAACACTGGTATCACCTGGGAGGCTGTCTGACATGCAGAATCTCGTGTTCCATCTCAGACCTCCTGAATCAGAACTGGCACATTTTTAATGAGCTGCCGAGGTGATCTGCATGCATGTTAATATGTCAGAAGCACAGCTTCATCTCATTTAATCTGGGTAGCAAACCTAGGAAGTTCCCACTACTTCTAACAAACAGGGAACCCGGCTGCCAGAAGTGCTATCAGTACCATACGGAACAGAGACCAGAGCCATGGCAGATGTTCAACACACACTTGTGGGCAGAAGGCTGGAAGGGAAATAGGGAGAGCTAGGGATCAGAGGAATGGGTTGGTTAAGCCTCTGGCCCTTGGCTTTGCCCAGTTTGTACCAACTGGAGCAGCAGCAGGTGGGACAGAGGCCTTGATGGGATGGAGCTGTGGCAGTATAAGCTGTTTCCTTAGCTCAAGCCAGGGTGAACATGCCAGGAGCTAGGAGCAAAATCAGCTTCCAGAATATAATGTAAAGGAAAACACACATTATTGATTATAGTGAGTTTGGATCCTTCTCCCTCACCAAATGAAATATCAGCTTACAGATAAATGGTTAAGCTCACAACTCCTGTGACTTAATACAAAAAATCTGACTCAAAATATATAATTTTTTTTAACTTTTATTTAATGAATATAAATTTCCGAAGTACGGCTTATGGATTACAATGGCTTCCCCCCCATATCGTCTCTCCCACCCGCATCCCTCCCCTTTCCCACTCCCTCTCCCCTTCCATTCACATGAGGATTCATTTTCGATTCTCTTTATATACAGAAGATCAGTTTAGCATACATTAAGTAAAGATTAACAGTTTGCTCCCACACAAACATAAAGTGAAAAATAATAGATGATTTTTTAAATGATGATGAAATCAGATCAGACCTATTGTCATGTTTAATCCCAGTGAGAGTCAAGTTGGGAATTGATAATTTCTTCTTTTTTTTTTTTTTTTTCAGAAGATCAGTTTAGTATACATTAAGTAAAGATTTCAACAGTTTGCACCCCCATAGAAACACAAAGCGAAATATACTTTTTGAGTACTCATTATAGCATTAAGTCTCAATGTACAGCACATTAAGGACAGAGATCCTACATGAGGAGTAAGTGCACAGTGACTCCTGTTGTTGACTTTACAAATTGACACTCCTGTTTATGGCATCAGTAATCTCCCTATGCACCAGTCATGAGTTTCCAAGGCTATGGAAGCCTTTTGAGTTCACCAACTCTTATCTTGTTTAGACAAGGTCATATTCAAAGTGGAGGTTCTCTCCTCCGTTCAGAGAAAGGTACCTCCTTCTTTGAAGACCTGTTCTTTCCACTGGGATCTCACTCACAGAGATCTTAAAAATCTATTTGAAAGTCACACTTATACACACACACACACAGAGAGAGAGAGAGAGAGAGACAGAGACAGAGACAGAGACAGAATATATCTCCCATCCACTGGTTCACTCCTCATATGGCCAAAATGACCAGGGCTGGGCCAGGAGCTTCATCTGAGTCTCCCACATGGATGGCAGGGGCTCAAGTCCTTGGGCCATCTTCTGCTGCTTTTCCCAGGCCGTTAGCAGGTAGCCAAATCAGAAGTGGAGCAGCTGGGATTTGAACCACAGCCCACATGGGATGCCAGAGTCACAGGTGGCAGCGACCTTACCTGCTACACCATAATACCAGCCCCAAAATATAGTTTTTTATAGAAAGTATTTAGACAAGACGTACAACACCCTTCCTAAGAGCCTCAATTCCATAACTAAGGGATGGAGAGAATGAGCCCATGTCAAATTATTGTACTTATACTGTTAGCAACCTTGTTGTTAGTAAACTTTTTCCACATGCCAGTCACTTTAAAGTGCTTCACCAAGTTCTGGTAGCAACAGTATCCATATTATTGACTTCCCTACACAGATGAGAACACAGACACAATAGCAAGGGGCAGATTTGATCCAAGAAACAAAGTTTCTAACCATTACTCTTAGGTATTTCACCTGGGCAAATTAACTGGAGTTGGGGAAGAGAGACTGAGATCTGTTCACTTTGCAACTAACACAGGAAAACAGGATCTTTATTCAATTTTTTCCCATGTGGGCTCCAAATGAACATTTAGACTTAAGAGTCTCATTTTTACCTTGAGGACAATCTTAAATATATGTATGTTCAAGTGCTCCTCTGTCCATAGGACTGAGTAGGTATCGTCTATGCAGAGATTTTTGATGATCTGACAAGCTAACTGGCCAGGGCAAGCAGCAGAGTGGGTGCAGTCAAGAGGTGCTGATAAAGGGACACCTCCCAGTTCACTGCCCACGCTCATCTGCCTAGTGCAACAAGCCAGAACAAAGAGAAAATAACTCTCAAAAGCAAGCTTGCCATTTTGAATTGCAGCTAGTAAAGTGTTAAGAGTGAAGCAGCCTCTTTCTTAGATGCTGGGAAACACTCTGCTATGTATCGTACTGCACAGTTCTAAGCTTGGGTGGGATTCTCTCTCCCATCAAAAGGAGAGCTCCTACTCAAACTTTTAAACCTTGTTCAGATTCAAACTCCCCTTTGGGCTCTGCCACTAGAGCCTGAAGAGATCGCTTCAGATCCTTTGGTTCCTAGCACAAATTTTATCCACATATTTCCCTTATGAATTAATTATGTACAAGACTTGGGAAATCTTTGCTGGAACTTATTATGCAGACATTTTATGGTCTTTCTTATTGCCTACACTGGTTAAAGAGTGAAAAGAGTATAGAGATCATGTTTGAGAGGTCCCCAGGCCTCCCAGATGTCCCCCTTCTCCATCAGATCTTGTACAGAGTAGAAGAGCAATGAATGAGTGAGTGATTTCCATGCAAAGGCAAGTCAGATGTTCGAAAATGCACGTTTGGAGAACTAGACCTCTGAGAAGAAAGGTTTTCAACATGTTATTCATGCATGCTTGACTACTGTTTCTTCCTCAAATAGCTAAATGAATTTTACTGGGGGGGAGGGGTCTCCAAAAACCAAATGTGCCTTGTGGAACACAGCGTTACAGGAACGTTCTTATCTTCCACTCATTTTACCACCTCCTACCCCCACTGGATTTACACACTGAAGCAGCACTGTCATTGCTCCTGCAGGCACTACTGCCTGAGAGATATTAAACACACCCACATTTTTCAGGAATTTCACAATTAATGTCTGGAATGTACTTTGGATTATTCTTCAAAGGATGGTACAGTTGCCCGAGGATTAATTCAATATTTTTCCCTTCTTTCATTCATCATTCTTTAGTCCTCCCACTCATTACCTTCTTAGGGTCATCTGTTTTATACAAACCCTCCAACTTTATAATGTCTGTCCCCAAGCTGTTCACTCGTTCACCCAGATCACCACATCTTAACTAAGCCACACAAAACATAGGAAAATGTACCAAGTCACCAGATATCTCCTACAAATGGCTGTAATAGCCACAGTTTAAGGACTGTTCAGACAGCTTTCTTCATAAATTAACCCAAATGCTCACAACCACACTGCCAACATATGGCTTGTAGATTTTCCTGGTCTATTAAACACGTGTTAATGGCAGCAAGTATCTCCAGACTTGCTATTTTTCCTTTCTTTACTATGCAATTTATTTGCCCTTTGCCAAGTATTTTGTGTGACAGGACTCAATAACAGCGAAGATTCTATAAGCCTGACAAAGTGAAGATAAATGAATCCTGTCACTTGTATATATGCAGTGAATGGTTGGTCCCTCCATGTTTTGTCAATATTTACTTTTGGGAAGAACTAATTATTTCCTTGTTTACTTGCATTGGTTTCTCCTCACATCCCCTGTTAACATAATTTTACAGGCCCTCTGCTTGCTTCTTTCTGGCATCAAAAGAGGTCACTTTACCTAAAGACTTTTGAGATGAAAAATGAAGCCCATTACTCAAAGTCTGAGCCCTGAGTGTGCTCATTTTTAAAACTGTAATATAAGTGTATTAACTTTGCCCTTCATCTTTTACTAAATTAGTGAAAATAGAAATTCAGGACTTTGACTCCAGGTCCCACCCCACAGCCATGGGGGCAGCTCCTTGGATGACTTATGCACAATCCAGTGCTTTGATGCATTACCTGGCCACTAGTCACCTGCTCTCTGGGACACCTCCTTATGGCCCCAAGCTTAGTCTTGCAAGCACCCATCATCTCCACTGACAGTCTTCCAGTCTAAGGGAAGAAACCATAACCTTTTAATGACAATCATTTCAAAAACTTTTGCTTTTTTGCTGTAAATACCCTCCACACCGACTTCATTCTCCTAATCACTACCCCATGAAAAATGGAAGGAAAAAGTTAAAAAACATGGGAGAAATACAAGGATTGTGTACACAAAAAGCAATTTTCACATGGTAGTGATCATGGAAAATTAAGTTCCACAAAGGTTGAGCCACCGAGTATATATTTACTGGGAAAAGAACAGCGCTGGCATCCCATAAAGGCACCAGTTCCAGCCCCGGCTCTCCACTTCTGATCCAGTACCCTGCTAATGCACCTGGGAAAGCAGTGGAGAATGACCCAAGTACTTGAGCCCTTGCACCCATGGAAGAAATTCCTGGCTTCAGTCTAGCCCAGCCTCGTTGTTGCGGCCATTTGGAGAGTGAACCAGCAGATGGAAGATCTCTTTCTTCTTCTCTATCCCTGTAACTGTTTCAAATAAATAAATAAATCTTAAAAAAAAAATAAAGAAGTTTGTGCTTATCTGCAACAGAAATCACCTGGATCCAATACAACAAAGTCCTCAGAGCAAAGCAACTCAATTGCATCCACTTGGTTTCTAATCACTGTCCTTGCATACTGACAAACTCAAGTCACCATCTACTGGTGTTATTATCCAGAGACGGCTGGTCACGCTCCTGCACCTTGTGCCAGCCACTCCTCACAGAAATATGTCCACTATATATTTTACATAGGAGAGACCCACTTAGCTTAAAATATCATTCTCACTGTCCCATCAAAATATTCTTTGTAGAAAATCTCCATTAGTTTTTCATAATGTTGTCTCACCTCCCCCAAGAGGTTTCTCATCCAAACTTCTACCTCAGGGGTTCAGAATCCAAACTTGTTTCTCTGGCTTCTAGGCAATTTCCCTGGAGGCAGGCAGCCTGGCCAAGAACACAGGCCAGGCAGAATGCAGCAGAGGGCAACAGGAAGACTCCCTAGATGAGTGGAAACAGGAGAGGCACTTGCACTCTCTCAGGGGCCATAAAGCACTTTTGAGATTAAGAGGATGGCAGAAAACCAGCAGGTATCATGCACAATTTGAATAAATTTAGAAAAAAAAAGGAATAATTAAATCAGGATTTATTTACTAACAGTCTAAACTATGTGGTAAAGAAATCCAAAGGAGCATCTCACATGATTCACTAAGACATCACATAATTTAATCTTTCAGAAAATACTTTTTCTTTCTTTGAATAGCACTGTTCATCCATTTATTCAATGCACTTCCAGTGAGGCCCCACTATGGGTCAGTATGCCTTAAAACCCAAGGCAAGGAACCTCAAGATGAAATGGGTCCATGTCTCCTCGTGACTGATCTGACTCATTTTAGGAGCTGCAGTTAAAAACATGATTTTTCTCCACACAAAGACAGGATGGCAGTAAAACACATAAAAATCACTGCAAGTTGGCAAACAGCAATTCAAGTTGTACTTAAGTTATGTCATTGAAAGCAAGTAGATTAGTCATGAGAACATTTCTATACCATGCACTAAGCTTTCTCAGTGTAGCCTCATGAAGTTTTCCAAAGAGCTTTCATTAACAGATACAACCAGTAGGGGTCATTTTAGTGCAAAAATTGCAGCAAAAGAGACTTTAACACGAATAAAATATTATATTCCTATTTGTTAATTATGAAAATCATGTCCCAATGTGTGAATTTCTGCATAAAAATGAAAACTGAAAGAAACACTGGTCATTGAAATATTTCTTGAAAGTAAAATGAACCAAAGGAGAAAATACCTTCTAGATAATTATCAACATGTAAAGATTCCTCTAATTCTTACAGAGAAAGGGTTATTCATTCATCTTATGCTTTTTACAAATCATGTAGTAAAGGGAAGAGGATATATGCAATTCTAGACACAAGATTGAAAATAACCTGTCTGAATCCAACCATTGTATCATGCCAGTTTAACACTGTTCTTCTTTTGTTTCATGGATGTAGAATGCAACTTGACTGCTGCTTTTGGAATTCTTTTTAAAAGTGCCTAGCGCTCAGGATTGCGGTGGCTGGATACAGGCCTGCTAAATGCAAAGTGCTTCTAGAGAACACTAATTGAGATATAGTCACGTTGACAAACACTCCCAAGTATGTTCAAGGATAATACCAGTTGCACAGGGTGTTACCAGAAGAAAGGAAGCTAGGAGGGATCGCATCATTTCAGAGGAATGAACGGCTCACCAGCAAGCTGCCAAAATAACTCCATAGTGTGACACGGCATGCGGCTGCCAAAACATTTGATGACCGAAAATGTTCCCTGAGCAGTTCCTTCACCACAAACATACTAAGAAGCCACAAAACAAGGAGCAGAATATTTTCAACCTCCAAAGTCCTTCTCAGAGCACAGCAGTCTCCGATGCATGTTCTTGTTAATTTAGGGGAAGCCAGATCAGATCAGATACTCGAGGTGGCAGGGTTCAAAGATGCACCTTTTAGTCTAAGTCATTCAAAATCCCCAAACACATGAAACCGGATCAGAACTCTGTCTGATGGCCATTTTTCCTGAGTCAGAAATAATAACGTATTGCAAAATGGGATTTCATACCAGGTGGGAGGCTTTCCTAATCCAGGCAACCAAACCCTTTAACTCTTCTAAGCCAATGTCCTAAGTGCACAGCACAGCCCGGTCCCTCCCCTGGGACCAGAGATCCCTAAGACTGCCCAGTAGCTTCCAAACCAGAAAGCCTCTCGATTCAACAGAATGGTGCAAACCTTAAGGACACAGGTATAAATAAGTACGTGTACTTAAAAAGAACCACAGCCTTGAAGCCTTTTAATAGATCCATTTTTTTAAAAAACTCTCCAGGCTGTCACCCCCTTTCTCTGTATCCCAGCACAGTAAACATACACACATACACATGCGGATGCTCCAGAATAAGCCCCTCCCTGGCCTCTGAGGTGTGGCTCCAAGTAGTACAGAAGAGACACTAGGCAGAGGGCGCCTGTCCCTGCTCCAAGCTCCCCCAGAAATAAGACTGCTGCGCTCTGCTCACTCGCCAGGATGGCCCGCAATGGCATCGTGCGCCCGAGCAGGGAACCCACTTTTAACTGGTGCTCACCGAGTCCTGCTCAGGCGCTCGACAAAAAGAGCTCAGCGCTTCTCTCTAGACCTCAACCAGACCAGGCACCGTGAGGCCGAGGGTGGCGGACAGGGATGTCAGCGACTCGCACCAACACTGGGTACCCAACGAGGCGGCTCGACTCATCTAAACGCTTTCTCCCTCCGGCAGTCTGGCCATCGCGGTGCACAGTGCGCCCTGGAGAAAAGCCATCAGGGCCAATCCGCTGTCAAACAAAAAGAAGGGACCGGCAACAAGACTGGAGACACGCGGCCATCTGATCTTAAAACAGCAGCCCCTGACAGCGAGCAACAACTTTGCACCGCCAGGTGCAGCCCCCACCTCTTTCCTTTCGGGAGAGAAAGCCTTTGACCGTTTTCCATAGGCAAATAAATGAGTAACCACCGTTTGCAACTTCCCCTAGGCTGACATATTCCTGAGCTGAAACTGATTTATCTGCGGAGGAGGAGGAAGGGGGTGAAGGAAGAGCGCGAGGGAAAAAAAAAATAATAAAGAGTCGCACGGGAGTGGGAGCTGGAGGCACGTCTCCTCGGACGACAGAACACGGACTTTTCAGGGCCGGTGCGCAGCGCACCGGCCACACTGCGCCAGTGCGGGCAGGGGGCGGGGGCGGACGCCCCGGAGGCTCGCGCGCGCGGCCTCCGCAGTGCCCCGCCCGCGGCGTCCCCGCCTCGAGTGGCCACACGTGTGTGTGTGTGTGGGTGGGTGGGTGCGCGCAGGGGTGGTGGTGGGGGGGGCTCGGACACCTTCCACTCGCCCGCCCCCACCCAAGCAGCCCAACCTCGCGCGCGTGGCTGGCTAAGTACCCGGGGAGCGGGAACCGAGCGACGCAGGGGCTCGCGCCCGGGGGTGGCGGCCGCCTCTCCTCCTGCGGAGCCCTCGCTCCTCGGGAAAGTCTCGGCCAAACTTTGTTGGGCGCAGCCAGCGCCGAAGGAGGGCGGGGGTGGGTGGGTGGGGGGTGGCGGCGGGCAGCCGTACCTTCGCAGACGCCTACTTCGTACTCGGTGATGGAGTCGCCATTGAGCGGGGGGCGGATGACACAGCGCAGCCCCCGGTCGCAGGCTCCGTGGAGCCCGTAGGCGCCGCCGCAGCTCTCGTTCCTCTGGCGGGCGCACATGTAGCAGCAGCCGCAGACGCCCTGCACGATGCTCCCGGGGCAGCTCCTGGGCTCCTCGCACTTGGACTCGTCGCAGGGCAGGCAGACCAGCGCCCGGGTGCCGGAGCGCGCCAGCAGCAGTAGCAGCCCCAGCAGCGAGACCAGGAGGTGCCCGCAGCCGGCCAGCCCCCTGCGCCCCGCCACCAAGTACATCCTCCTGCGCCGCCGCCGCCGCCTCCTCGCAGCCGGGCCGAGAGCCGGGCGGGCGCCCTCCCCTTCGCGGGGCACACGCGCCGCAGCCGCCGCTCCCGCAGCCCGCGGTCCTCGCCGCCCCCCTCTGGGCCCCCGGGGCGCGCCTCCCCTCGCGGGGCGAGGCCCGCGCCCCCACTGCGGGCCGCGCCGACCCCGAGCCCACTAGCGTTGGCGCCAGCGGCAGCGGTGGCTTCCCCTCCTCCTTCTCCTCCTCCTCCTCCTCCTCCCGGGAGGGAGGGGGAATAAAGAAAAAAAGTTTCCTCCCGGCAGCTCCGGTTCAACCCAAACTTCTGGCGGCGGCGGCGGCGGCTGCGCTCGGCTCCAGCCCGGGCTGGCGGCGCCCACTCCTCCTCCTCCTCCCAGTCGGCCGGCCCCGCGGCGGCGCAGCCTGCGGGCCGGTCCGCGCCTCCCGAGCCTCTGAGTGGGCGCGGTGGCGCAGCACAAGGTCCGCGGCGTCCGCTCCGCGAGCCCCGCTCGCCTCACTCCTGCGCGGCTCCTCCGGGCGCTTGTTTATGGCTCGAGCCTCCGCCGCTCGGGCTGCGCCCTCCCCCTCCTACCTCATCCCCAGCCCGCGCCCCCCCCGCACCGCGCGCTGCTCATTGGCTGCCCCCCCACCCCTCCCGGCCCGGCCGGCCCCCTCCCCTCCCCCCTCCCTCCCTCCCTGGCGGCTGGGCCCTTCCTCCCTCACACGCCTCCTCCTCCTCCCCCGCCTCCGTCTTCCTCCCGGAGCCGGCCGCACCGAGCCGGCCCCACGGCCGAGTCGCCGTTCGGGCTCGGTGGCTCGGGGCGCACCCAGCGAGCGGCGGCAACCGCGGCGTCGCGAGCGCCCCTGGCACGGTGGCCGCCGCGGCCGGCCCGGGAGCCGGGAGTGCTCGGCGCCGGCACCTCCCGGGACCAGTTGTTCTGAGTTCGGAGAGCGGCGCTCCACTCCCCGAAGCTCGGAGCCCGGGCAGTAGCTGCAGCCGGACCTCGGGATAGGGGAGCGAAGGCTTGGAAGCTCCGCGAACTGGATGAGAATCCATCTTCCACTCGAGCTGGGCAGAGACTTTGTAAAAGATATTATGTAATGGAGTCTCGGGAGCTGGAGTCCCCGGCCGAGCCGCGGGTGCTCCGAGTGCTTAACGGGGTCTGGGCGGCTGCTCCGCGGGGGGCCGCGAGCAGGCGCGGGGCAGGGCTGCAGCTTGGGGTCAACTGTGAGTGCCCCCCAGCCTGTGCGTTTTGTGGCTCTGCCTTCTGCGCCGAGCTGCCGTATTGTGGGAGCGGGGGAGTGGAGAGCCACAGAGCCCAGTCTTTTCTCCCGGGAGGGAGGCCCAGTACCGGCTTCCTACAAGTCTTGACGCGACTAGACCCGCAGACCTCACGCGTCATTCGTGTCATCTGACATTGACGCTTTCTTAGGCTCGTGGACCCAGGTGCTGGGCGTTCTTTCCTTCTTTCCCGTGGGTTGTGGATCTGTTCGTAACGAGGATGTGCCGTAAGCACTCTTTGTGATAAGCCGCGTCGAGAAGCAACGACGTGTTGCGCAACGTGGAGATGGCTTTTCTTCTGAGGCCATCAGGAACGCCGTCCACGATGATGGCCCTGACCGCTGAGTGGGTGTGAGGCAGTCCGTGATCCGGCCCGCCATTCACAAGACGCATGGATACCAGGGTCAATGAAATTAGTGAACTCACAAAACGTGAGTTATATCAGCGTGAAAAGATACCCGATCCTGTGGCAGGTGTGGCATCTGATCTAAGATGGTCTTGGCAGGTGGCAGCCACTTGGATCCTGAAAATCGTGACTAAGAACCCAAAGTCAATGTATGTGGCACTGTAAGGAGAAAGGGAATAAAAATACCTTTGAAAGTGCCTTTGTTGGACGAATTTGTACTTACGGTAATTCCGGACCCAAGAAGTCAGTTACTAGGAGAATACCCTTAGTCACATTTCTCCAGTCATGTTGCTTTGTCCTGAGGATGGAAAATATTTTTAATTATCACCGGGAATTAGAGGGTTATGGGGAAGATGTTCAGCAGTGGGAAGGGGCAGGAGCACTCCACTGCCTAAAGGGATTAAAAGAGCTGATGCGATGTTCCCAGGGTTGTTGTATACGCAATTCCTGCAGTTGTGTAGGAAGTCGGGCTATGATCTCCAAAGGACCTCATACCCTATAGTTCCATGAGTATTAAGTCATAAAGTCATTTAAAACTGGCTAGGTTTTCTAATAGCAAAACTGAAGAAAATAAAGCACACCACTCTGTTAAACATTGTTACTGGTAACCCAAGAAGCCACCAGCATGCTTCACCATGGGTTGTGCCAACAAACTGTCATCATCACACTGTTTTTTTAAAAAAAAGGCCCTTTTCATTCTTTTGGATGCCATTATCTATATTTCTGTTCAAATGCAAGTATTAAGACATTAAAAGGTAGCAGATAACATTGTAGGACCAAATAGGAAAAGCCAAGGTCAAGTGGTAGAAAAAAGAAGTGAGAAAGCCACTGTAGTTTGGAAAAAGGGGGGGGGGTAGGAGGGCTATCCTTTGCTTTAAAAACATACTTATTTATTTGAAAGAGTTAAAGAGGGAGAGGGAGAGATAGAGAGCTTTTCTGTTAGTTCACTGCCCAGATGGCCTCAAGGACCAGGGTTGGGCCAGGCTGAAGCCAAGAGCCAGGAGCTTCATGTCTCCCACATGGGTGGCAGAGGACCAAATACTGAGAGCATCTTCCGCTGCTTTTCCTAGGGTATTAGCAGGGAGCCTAGGCCACAAACTGGGATGCTGGTGTCGCATGAGGGAGCCTTACCTGCTAAGCCACAATGCTTACCCCATCATTTACTCTTTTGTGTTTTTAATTATTTTTCAAGGTAGTCAGCTAAGGATTAGGGAAAGCTATAGAGTGAGCAGAGACAAGGGGCAATATGGAAGTCCACCATGCCTGTGACTTCAAAGGCTGAAATACCTGGAAGGCAGAGAGACACAGGTGAGAAAGGCTGACTTCTTTCAGGAATTCAAGTCAGGATTGGAAAGCACTGGAGAGATTCTAAGATGCAGGTGGATGTATCTGCTCCAACCAATCAAGTTAAGTGAGGCCTTTTGCTGTGGAATTAATAGTCATGGAAGCAATCCAGAGAGCAGGATTTGTGTTGTGCAGCAGTAGTTAAACTGCCACTCGTGGCACTGGCACCTGATTACGGAATGCCAGTTGGAGTCCTGGTTGCTCCACTTCTATCCAAGTTCCTGCTGATGTGCTGGGAATGCAGCAGAAGATGACCCAAGTACTTGGGACCCTGCCACCCATGTGGGATATGAGGATGGAGTTCCTGGCTCCTCACTTTGGCCTGGTCTGGACTGAGCTGTTGAAGCCATTTGGAGAGTGAATCAGGAGTATAAGATCTCTCTCTCTCTCTCCCTCTCCCTCTTCTTCTCCCTATCCCTTTCCCTCTCTCTCTCCCTTTTGAATAAAGAAATAAAATCTTAAGGAAAAAAAAGAAACAAAATGGATTTTTTTTTAAATAGTCACTGATGGCAAGTGAGAAACATACATGGGTCTGGCAGCTTTTCTGAAACCACTGTGTGAAGTAGGAGGTTAGTGATGGAATAGCTGTTTCTTTCTCAGATCTAGGAGAGACCATAAGGAGGCCAGAGCCATGGCAATGAAAGTGAGGCTCAAACACAAAAGGAATTCTCTCACCTTAAGAGACCAGAGTAAGGGTTCAGGAAGAGGTTAGGTGAGCCCAACATGGAAACAGTCAGGTGTCAAGAGACAAAGTGGATGGGGAAGGAGTATATGGGCCCTGAAAGGCATGTGTATCTGTTCTACAGCATTTTAAGTGTCTCTGCTTGCAGCATTTCTCATGTGATATCATAAATAGTTCTATGAACAACTCAGAACCCAGTTAGATTGTCAGTTCATAGTGGGTGAGGGACATGGAAGGAGGAAATAATTACAGAAAAAAAGAAAGATATTTGAATTATTTTTGGGTGTGGCCAATCTCCCGGAGTATTAGTAAATACCTGGATAATAACCAGTGAAAAATGGCTGGGGAAGGAGAGATCTTCCCAGCTGGGAAAAAGCACGGGTCTGAAAGGCTAGAATTGGAGTCTCGCTCTGATAGTTGTGGGAAGAAG